ATGTCTCGTTACAGTTTTCAATAAGATTTTTGTTACGATACAGTTAAGTTATTTAAAGCTTGTATGCAAATAAAAATACCACTTTATTAAAAAATATCCTACCAATATATTTCACACTCTACTTCATTGAGCGCTTTTTTATGCAGGTGATGAGCTTTTTAATGTTGTAAATCCATTATTACAACAATATAAAATATATGTGCCCCTTTGGTTATTGCATTCAAAAATCATTTCTGACGGTAAATGTGCCTTTATTGTGATTTTAAGCCACGCAGACACTGTGAAGGTCACTGGTAGGTGAAAACCTCACATGTCACTTTGTGCAATGTATTATTTCAGGAACAAACGGATATCTGAATAGAACCGCTGACATACCATAAGGGGACAAGGTACCTAAAAATGAAAAAGTTCTGTGTGGCCAAAAACGCAATTCCAAATATTTCAAAATCTGTTACAAAGGCAGATAACCAGTTGCTCAACATTTATTTTTCAAGGATATATGATAGACATTGAAGAAAATGTTAATTTTCATGCATTGCTCCTAATTATAAAGACTGATTACCCCCAACAAAAATCAGACTTGAAATATACTTATATGGACTTTTTTCATAAAAGTGCAGGACATTCCAGATTTCACCCGATTCCTTAAAAAATATAACTAACACACAGTGCAGTCAATGGCATTCAAAATGCCCAATAAACGGCCGGTCATACGTTAAGATTTTTAACAAAAATTATCCAAAAGTTCTTACTTGTTTGGCGCCATCTGTCAATGCTACTGTATGATTTTTAACTTTTTCACCTCCATTTGGAGAGTCACAAATACATGCAAAGATACCAGTTTAGTTTCGGGTAAAAACCCAAAAGAACTGATCATTTCCTAAACACAATCAAAAAGAATTATAATGAAGGAGACCGTCAAAAGTTTTTAGTACATTCAAAATACCATGTCTGTGTTATTAATGAATTTGACGGGGCCATATATGAATATGTCCCCTGCCCTCTATTCTAGCATAGTATCTACTTCAACGTGCAAGAATCCAAAGTCCCTTTAAGGCTGTAAGGTAAATTTCTTTGAAGTCCGGGATCTTAACCACTAAGCAACAGAGGCTCATTGTAGTAGTACTTTACTTTATTGTAATAAAATGACACAAGCATATAAGTCTGGTAAAATTGATATAATTTTTTTTTCAAACCTCAATGACTTTACATACGCCAAAATTTACTCTTTGAAATACTAAAAAAATCCGAGTAAATAAATGTAAAAAATTATGCAGAACGCAAAAAAAATGTAAACTGCGACAAACTTTAGAGCTTTAAAAATATGTTCGCGCCCCCTGCGTTTATTTAATGATCACCTTACATGCAAACCCTATAAATGTTTTCACAATATACACCGAAGTGATAGAATGTTCATGGCCGAGTGGTTTAGGTCGCTGACATAGAAAATTGCTGCTCTCACCTTTTTTGTGTTCGAATTTGACCTTGGACTTTTAATATCTTTCACAGGAGAACATATATTTTGCAAATTCACCGAGGGAGAGTGGTTGGTATTCAGGTCACGTTTGAATTTGTGCCTGAATAAAACCAGGAAAACCTGAGGCATTCCTTCAAGAGTTTTATCATTTTTAAAAATCCTCAAAGTGGTTTTGAAGGCGCCTGTGTGACAAAAATAAAATACTATTTTGACTGAATTTTATCTTCATTTTCTAAAAAAATAGGGAATTTTCATACTATATGTTTAAAAAGAGTATGTTTACGAATAAGACAAAAATACAGGATTAATATATGTAAATAAAGAATGAATATACTTTTCTATTACCCTTCCAGATTTTTTCCGCCTTTTTGATTGGATATTGATCACCCGAAAGAAATTGATATAACCGAGTCAGACGGGTAATATACACACTAAATTTCCCCGTTGGGTACTACCCCACGTTCTAAACAACATGCGCTATGGCGATGCGCGTACGGTTTGATTTTACGCGATGTAAATTCCGATTTACAAGCACTTTTTAACTGTCAAATGATAAATATTTACCAAAATAAAGTTATCATACATATTCTCATCAGTATTGAAAACAAATATGACCTTAAGAAAGCTTGATATTAATTCCATAAAAGTGCGTTCAACAGACTACTCCTTTTCTCTTGTTTACATTGGTTAGGTTCGAAAGAAAATACGTCATGTATTTATGTGACGTCATGAAGTGATGAAGGGGTACCCTAAAGGGAATCCTATTTCGACGTTTTATTTGAAGTAGCAATGATTTATTTTAAAATCTTCTTAACTCGGCAGGGGAAGGGTAATAAAATTATTATTTTGGTTTTGGAGTGATATATGTGGATATATTACCTGCCAAGATAAAATATCACCCTCGCCTGACGGCTCGGGTGATATAAAATCTTAACAGGTAATATATCCACATATATCACTCCAAAACCAAAATAACATATATTACTTTTCTTAGCTCAAATCCGTAACAGTTTGAATATTTTTTTCAACAAGAAAACTGAATATACTGTAGCGTCAAATTGTACTAATTTAACTTGAATAACTAATGTACTTTAAGGACACTAATTTACAAAACGGAAGTTAAATTATCGGTATACTTTGTCACAACACTATTGTCTTACATTTTCATGTACTATTTTTTCATGAACCGTTTGGGAAGTTATATTGCGAATATTGGGTAAAGTAGTGCGGTATATTTCCCTAGTTGTTTACCTGTAACATGAGCCGAAAATAAAACAAACTGGTTTTAAACTAGTTTGCCTCTTTATTTGTGTTGAACTTAAAATTGGAAAAAAATGTTTAACTTATAGAATAAAAAAACTTACATCAACTTATCAACTATTGAATTAACACGTTTTGGACACTTAATGTTTTTAAGATTTTGAATAATTTCAAATTATTACCTTGGGGGAAGTTTAAATGCGTTTGGAATTCTTTGTGAAAATTAAAATAATTCATTCATTAATAAATTGAGAAAATGATATGTTCTCAAAATTATATTTGTTTGCCTTTTCCGCCTTAAAAAGTGTACATAGGACATAGTTTCAGTAATGTCTTGAGACATGCTTATAGGCTAATATATTCAAGATGGTTTTCTGTTTTGAATTAAAAACTAACAGGGATCTGCTGTGAATTGACCTCGTTTTTGCAGTTTTTTTTAAACATTACTTCGGTTTTTTTACATTCTTTATGATTGAAAAGACACCCTTTCACCCTTTTACGAAATATGACGTTTTTACGCCGCATGCTTTAAAATCTAAATACCACATTTTATTTAATGAAATATATAAATCTCAACTTATGGTAGGTATACATGTAAGTGTTTTTTGTTGTTTTTTTCTCTCAATTATTTGATCAATTTATGTACATGTATATGTTTTGCAAACAATAAATACTAATAAATATTAATTAATACAGCAGAAACAAAGGAAAAGGATAAACAAGATTAAGAACAAATTCAATAACAAGAATTGCTTTGTGAAAGTTAGGTTTTTTTTCCATAAGGTAAATGTCTTCTTATGAAAAATTTTACTAAGCAAATAAGGAAAATTAAAACTAGCGCAGGCATTTTTTAAGCTTTGCATACTATAAGAGTACATGAAGGAAACGAATTGATGAAAAAATCTTGTGAGGATTTAAAACCTATTTTTTTAATTATCTGCCCATAAAATGAGTTTTATATCCTTAAACTATCAGGCCTGAATGATAAAGGGAAGAAACCTATGACGTATCAGTCATAATTGATATTATGTTGTTGTCGTGGTGGTGGTTGATGTGATGGGTGTTTTGTAGTGAACCGTCCGGATCACGGCAGAAAGCCACTTTAAATTCATCAGAGCACCGTTCAGAATCTCATTGTTCCTGGGCAGGCTGACATACAGTTATTGACCTAAATTGTCTCCCCTAGAAAAATATGACGCGCTCCTTACTCTGTTACTAAACACCCGCATGTAATTTTGAATGATCGCGTCAGCTGAAATTACCATGCGCCATGTAACCTGAAATAATGCACTTCAAGGAAAAAACACAAACAAACAAATAACGCGGACAAGTTTCTATAAATTTGCACATGATATACATTGTAATTGAAAGTCGTACGATAAGATATTCTTACAACTTTCTACGCAGTTGGATTGGTGCATCATTTACTAACATGATCATGGTTATCAAGACAACATAATATTTTTTCTCATATTTTTCAGGTTACATTTTTAAGTATCATTTACAATTTAAAATGACTTTGCCACTTTCCAGCATTATAGCTGTAAGCAGACTAATCAATGTCACTCCGGAAATAGTTTAAAAAAATAAAAATAAAAAAAAACAACAAACAAACAAACAACAAAACAAAAAGCCCCTAGACAAACAAAAAACACCCAAACAACAACAACAACGTCTGTATAGCCTAAAGTACCGATCTTCTACAATAAGGCAAGATGTCTGCTGTATGTAAGGAAATACCTTTTACACGCAGCTGCGATGAAAACACAAATTGTATATAAAGCAAATTAAAAAAAAAACAAAAAAAAAAACTATAACTCAAGAGAATTAAACAAAAGTGGTGTTTTGGTGTTGGTACTTTTCGCTCCGGATCACGGCAGTAAGCCAAATTGAATTCACTAGAACACAGTTCCTGGGCAGGCTGTCAAGCAGTTTACAAGTACTAGTTGCATTCACTTTCGCAAGTATACATATCAGAGCAATGGTACAGTGCGAAAATATTTCATGATCAATCGCAACGAAAGTGACCTGCGCCGTCCGGGAATCGATCCCGGGTGGCCAGATTCACAGTCCAACGCTCTACCTATTGAGCTAATGTAGATGAGTAAGCAATATGTAACATTTTATTATAAATTTGTATCTATTTGCTTTATATGAATAGTTTTTCCACTCCATGCGTCACAAGTCCTAAAAGCCTTGTTCTGTCATTTTTATTATGAAAAAAAAAAAGAGTAAAAATTAAGAAATGTTTTGAATTTTTCAGGATGCCCCTCGGGTTGGGTGTTATTTCAGAGCGCGTGTTACAAGTTTTCCGAGGAACCAAGCGTCTATGAAGAGGCGGACGCTGCATGCTGGGTAAGATTTTATCTTCACCTTTATCTGTGACCTTAATATAAGGACGCAATTTTCATAATGCCATTTTTAAAAATGCCCATTACGCTCCAGAAATACTTCTATTTGTCTTCCTAAATTTTTTTATCTATGGTGTCCTGATATAGTTTCCAAAAGGGTACTCATTGACCAATTATCTTAATCATTTTTTGCGTTTCTTGCTTTCTAGGAATAAGCTCAGTTATTGTGATTTAGTATTTTGTATGGAAGTCAAAATACTACTTTGTATATATTTTACTACATTTACGACAAATAATACCACATTCAGCGTTACTTTCGTGAGGTAAAAAGCATCTAACATACCATAAAACTATTATTTATACGTTATAAAAACTCATGTATGTCCTTAAATGAATAAGGAAAAATAATGTTTCTTTGTGTCTTTAATAAAGCGAACGTGTGAGATATATATATATATATATATATATATATATATATATTATCTTGGTTATCTCACGATGGTCATATTCCCCATTCAGGAAAAATAAATACAGATATTGTTATTTATTTTTTATTTATTTTATAATAATTATTATTTTTACAATTATTATTATTATTATTATTATTATTATTATTATTATTATTATTATTATCATTATTATTATTTTTGTTTATCTATTTTATAATAATTATTATTATTACAATTACTATTATTATTATTATTATTATCATTATTATTATTATAAGTATTATTATTATTGTTATTATTATTATTATTATTATTATTATTATTATTATTATTATTATTATTATTATTATTTATTTATTTATTTATTTATTTTGTTTCTCATGTTGTTAAAATAATAATGATTGATAAATAGCACGCGTTAATATAGAAATAAATATCTCATTTGTTAAAATATGAATTATTTCTCACAGTTAGAAGTAACCATTGTTAGAAGTAATAACTTTCATGATTTCCTTTATTTCATATAATGTAAGGAGTAAAATATGAAACATTTTAACATCAAATTCAGATATATATAAAATGTATTGACAACAAAGTCAAATAATTGGACAAAAGACTAACAATTTGATGAAAATAAAACGCATGCAGGTTTCAAAATGATTCATAATCACTTATTAATATATATTTTATCCAATTAAATTTTCTCTAAAGACTCTTAACTAGTGGCAAAGGATGACCTCTTTCTGTCCGAACAGATAAAGGATTAACTGCTCATGTTTTTGCTTTCAGTCTTCAGGGGCCACCCTCATCAGTGTGGACACGTTCAATGAGCACAAATTTGTGTCGGACTTTATGATGAACAACAAATTGTCAAGGTAGGCTCAATACAATCTTTGATGTTTTCATATTCTTCTTCTTTCTTTCTCTCTTTTTTTCAAAAAAGGAAAGCACAAATTAGAACAGAACATGTTTAACGTATATATACATTAAGGAGCTTAAAATATTTAATCAACCTTTAAAAGACTCCAGTGAGTGATACGTGAAGGCAGGTTTTTAGATCATTCGCTCCTGATCAATCCATTTTCCATGATAGTGATTTTGATTGTTCGAAATGATCTTAAATCAAAAAAATAAAAAAACAATCTGAATGTAATTTGAATATTTTTTTTATTATTATCATTTTTTCCATTTAATGTACCACCTGTTGATCCTATACTAAGTAAGTATTTTTAAATTTCAAGTGTTTAACTTTTTATACCTCAATGGAGATCCTTTGGCAGTAAAAAGAAGACTTTTGAATAGATTTCATTTTAAAATATACACTTTTTTGTATTCTTAAGTTTGGGAATTTTCGAATATATATATCTACCGGAGCAGTGTTGAACGTACACCGATAAGCTACTTCAAACTGAACCGACGTTGACTTGCCGTGTTTCTTCATTTTTTTCTGATTCTCTAGTGTGGTCAGTGAGCAAAATGTCCCAAAAAGTAAAATGCCTGAATTTCACCTGAAGCCACATGTTTCATTATATTTAAACTGATAATGTTTGAAATAAAACGTATAAAACGTACTGAAAGCAAAACAAGAAAGAAAGAAAGAAAGAAAGGAAGGAAGAAAGAAAGAAAGAAAAAGAAAGAAAGAAAGAAAGAAAGAAAGAAAGAAAGAAAGAAAGAAAGAAAGAAAGAAAGAAAGAAAGAAAAGAAAAGAAAAGAAAAAACTATTACAACACCAGATATTACACTGTTTGACACACTAATATATTTCTTCGGTACCAGTGCCGTACTACGGAAGCACAGAGGGGACATTCCGATTTATATTATTTCCTATCTCGTGGCCACGAGTTATAACTCAGAAAAAAAAAACAAAAAAAAAAATGCTATCTCGTGGCCACGAGATGTAACTCAGAAAAAAAAACAAAACAAAATGCTTTCTCGTTCCCACGAGATACAACTTAGAAAAAAACAAAAAACAAAAAATCCTTATCTCGTGGCCACGAGTTATAACTCAGAAAAAAACAAAAAACAAAAAATTACTATCTCGTTCCCACGAGTTATAACTCAGAAAAAAAAATTGCTATCTCTTTCCCACGAGTTAAAACTCAGAAAAAAAACAAAAAACAAAAAAAATGCTATCTCGTTCCCACGAGTTATAACTCAGAAAAAAAACAAAAAAACCCAAAAAATTGCTATCTCGTTCCCACGAGTAATAACTCAGAAAAAAACAAAAATTTGCTATCTCGTTCCCACGAGTTATAACTCAGAAAAAAAGCAAAAAACAAAAATTTGCTATCTCGTTCCCACGAGTTAGAACTCAGAAAAAAAAACAAAAAAAAAAAACAACAAAAAATTGCTATCTCGTTCCCACGAGTTATTACTCAGAAAAAAAAACAAAAAACAAAATTTGCTATCTCGTGGCCACGAGTTAGAACTTGTTATCAAGAGTTAATCGGCCAGTTAGCTTTTTATTCTATTTCGTTGACATAAAATCATTCTATAGGCCGCCATCTTGGCAAGTATGTCTACTCGCGCCGAAATCAACGAGCGCATCTTCGATTTTATTGGTCAGCTAACTCGTTACCACGACTTAGATGTGTTTATCTGATTGGTCGGCTAACTCGTGGCCACGAGATAGCGAATTTTGTTTTTTGTTTTTTTTCTGAGTTATAACTCGTGGCCACGAGATAGCGAATTTTTGTTTTTTGTTTTTTTCTGAGTTATAACTCGTGGCCACGAGATAGCGAATTTTTGTTTTTTGTTTTTTTCTGAGTTATAACTCGTGGCCACGAGATAGCGAATTTTTGTTTTTTGTTTTTTTCTGAGTTATAACTCGTGGCCACGAGATAGGAAAATAAAATTAAAATCGGAATGTCCCCTCTGTGCTTCCGTACCATACTTTTCACATTAAGCATGAACTATTTTTGTCAGTGACCAAACAACTTATTTCCAAAAAAGTGACAAGAAGTACCTTTAGCAAAACAAGAAAAGAAAAAAAATCAGCTCTATACATCTAAACTAACGATTGTATCGAAACACGATACCAATGCCCGATCCTAAAACCATACAATTTTTTACCCTAAAAATACCGACCTTGTAGACTAATACTGAGTCATAGCCCATTGATTGGTTGATACACGATACTGGTACGTAAACATTCTACCATAAACCGCCTATTCAAAACGGTAAACTAGTTAAAACCAGAAATGAGATACTTGTAAACGCAACTGAAAGAAATTAGTCCTATAATCGTAAATAAATGCTCTTAAACCATGAAGTAAAGCTGCATTTTTATGATTCTATATATATTATATCCTGAAACGATTTTTTTGGGGGGTTAAAATAACTCGTTTATACGAACAATCCATGAAAAAGATAAGAATTATATATTTATACTAAAGATCTGTCTGCTAAGTAAATAAATAAAAAAAATGGTTCGAGCGTTAACGTGACACTACAGTAATACAGCTTGGCATATAAAGTTACTTATGTACTTTGACAATGATTAATTTACTGCGCTTCAAAGTAAAAAACACGACACATTTGTTTATGTTTATTGCAGGCACAACTATTTCTACACTGGTGGGTACTATTTTCTCGGGCGGCAGTTCTGGGAAGGCCACAGTTCCTCGGGTAATGATGGTCTGAGAATCTGGTTAAACGATCAACCACCCCCTGTCGAAGAGAAGATCTACAGAATCGCTTACATATTCACCGGTAATAAGTAATAAATCTCAAACAAAAAATCAATAAATTGGTTAGAAAAAAAACCTCAGATTAACTATGTACATTCTTGTTGGTATAAATTAATAATGACAAATTGATTTATAACACTTTTATGGTATAAAATCAAAACATTTCTGATTATCAATCAAAACATGCGGTTTCACTTTATAAAACAATACACTGATTATTGCCCTAGAAAATATTATGAGTGCACGTTATTTACTAGAATAATAGGGCTTTACATTTTACACCATTAAAAAAAATGAAAAGTTAAAAATAGATATGACAGTAAATCTGAACTGGACCGATTTTCGCAGCGATTTTCTGCCAAAGACAGATCACAACATTTCTCTTGGTATAGGCACCATGCGCATGTCACTGACATGGATGAATGATATAAATATACAAGTATACATGTAGGATACTCTCTTCTTGCCAGCTTTTATCTCACATGGGCTACAAGTTACGCCAATGAGACCTAGAATGTTATCCTTTACTATCTGCCGATTTCGTGCATTAGGATTCGCAAAAACACATTAATTTGTTTTCACAAAAACTAAAAATCAACCATATTTTATATATATATATGTATTGTGAAAATGTAATTATAGTTTCTACTGTGAGGACATACACCATGTACAACATAGTTCCCGAGTTACCTTGGCGACCATTGTGTCTCTTCTTGGAAAATCGTCATTTGACATTCACAATGTCGTTATACCTAACTTGCTGACTGAAAATTCATAAATATATTATCATATATCGGCTTAAGTCTGGAATCGATTTTACATCGTAACCGGTCTTTTCCCGTGAAATTTATACGACACCACAAGTATTTTGCTTTAAGCGCATTGATTGATAATGCGCTAACAACATATGAAGCGTACTCTTCAGAATGTATCTTTCTTTTCTTTCAGAATCCGAGTACAAATGGGTGAACATTTCTTCAAGTATATTAGGGTATTATATCTGCGAAATTCCCAGATTAGAAGCCCAGCGCCTTGACCTTTTAGACAGAGATATTAGTATGTACATTTTAATTAACTTCATATGAGCCGCATCACACGACAAAACCAACATAATGGGTTTGCGACCAGCATGGGTCCAGACCAGCCTGCGCATCCGCGCAGTCTGATCAGGATCCATGCTGTTCGCTATCAGTTTCTCTACTTGTAAAAGGGTTGGTAAGCAAACAGCATGGATCCTGATCAGACTGCGCGGATGCGCAGGCTGGTCTGGATCCATACTGGTCGCAAACGAACTATGTATGTTTTGTCGTGACGCGGCTCATAATTATGTTAATTATTATGAATCATCTTATTCAGACTATGTTTTATCTAAGACATATTTTATCCAAACGGCTGGATGAAAAATAGTGGATAGTTTTGAGTAGATGATGGCGTTTTACCGCTGTGGTTTCGAATCCGGACAGGGACTGTGAGGACGCTATCCAGCTAGTATACTATACGGAACGTCGGTGGTTCTACTCATGTACCCGTTCGCGCATGATATAATGCACGGAACGGCAACTGAGGTCTTCCTCCACCAGTAAGGATATGACTAATAAGTACTGTGTTGATGCAAAGGTAAACCCAACCAAAAAAGTAAGAAACAAAAAATGATGATAGTTTATATTACACATCTGTGTACATTCCTAGCAAATTGGGTTTATACCATACAATGAGGAGAGAATTGTTTTTCAAAGGATCAGTTTGCTTAATAATGAGCTTCTGAGATTCATGTGTTCGAGTTCATTTTATAGTCATTTATATAATTTAATTGTCAATTAAACATTGCCTTTTTTTGTATTTGTGATACGTATATTCATAGGTTATGGTATAGATGTTAAAGACATACAGAACATTAAAACAGGCCCGACTATTGTAAAACAGCCAGAGTCCATTGTAGTAAGTCAACCTTTATTGTATTATTGCATTTTGAAAGTTACTGGAAATGATCAAGTCACTGTATGCGAACATTCAGCGGACGAATATCTATGGAACGCCGGCAATGTTTTTGTCTTTTATTTTGTTTAACATTCTTCTTCTTTTTCTTCTTCTTCTTCTTCTTCTTCTTCTTCTTTTTCTCCTTCTTCTTTATGAATACATTTCCAAATTTCCACGTTCTCAACTCAAATCCAGGATTATACTTGAAACTGACTCAAATTTTAGTTTTGTTTGTTTGAATTTTCACATTAATTGCAATTTTAATTATTACTTTTAAAATTCAGTCATGTGGATCAGTTTGCCCACTTATTTGATAAAACACTGCAAAACATTCAATATGTTTAAATATTCAGATAAGATTTAAGCTTAAAGTATTTATATTCAGACGACGTGTACAGTATCTTAAATTAAATGCAATTAAAATGAGGGTATGGTGTTTTACAAATCTAAGTATATATTGCGTGATGGGTGTCAAGAGAAAAAACGAAGAAACAATGTACCAATTTATTGATTTGAGATCATACATTTGAGATCATCATTTCAAAAATTGAAAACATGTATTCATATATTCGTTCTTTACTACGTTAGTCCGTCCATCCCAGCAAACATTTTGGGTATATGTAGCTATGGGAACAATAGGTAACAGTTACTTTTCTTTGATACTATTCATTCATTATGTGGCTTTATGTTTTAATTAGCTTTTTAGAACAATAGAATAAATTTTGAGAATGTCCGTCTGTCCGTCCGGGCAAACATCCAATGGTCTATGTGCTTCATTTCTTCTAAAATCGTAGTTAAAATAGATGGAAGTCCCATAAACTACGGAATGCCGTTAGGGCCATCGCCTATGAATGTGTTGATCTAAAACGCGATAGTCGATCGTACGATGGTGAAAACGCGAAATCACGAAACTACGATGGTGAAAACGCGAAAGCACGATGATGAAAACGCGATAGTACGATGATGAAATCGCGACAGTACGATACTACGATGATGAAAGCGCGATAAACTATCGTGTTTTCACCATCGTACTGTCGCGTTTTCACCATCGTAGTTTCGTGATTTCGCGTTTTCATCATCGTACTGTCGAGTATCGCGTTTCAGATCAAACCATTCATAGGCGATGGCCCTAACGGCATTCCGGAATGCCGTTAGGACCATCGCCTATGAATGTGTTAATCTGAAACGCGATAGTCGATAGTACGATGGTGAAAACACGAAATCCCGAAACTACGATGGTGAAAACGCGATAGTACGATGATGAAAACGCGATAGTACGATGATGAAATCACGACAGTACGATGGTGAAAACGCGATAGTACGACGATGAAAACACGACAGTACGATGATGAAAACGCGATAGTACGATGGTGAAAACGCGATAGTACGATGGTGAAAACGCGATAGTACGATGATGAAAACACGACAGTATGATGATGAAAACGCGAAATCACGAAATTACGATGGTGAAAACGCGACAGTACGATGGTGAAAACACGATAGTTTATCGCGCTTTCATCATCGTAGTATCGTACTGTCGCGTTTTCATCATCGTACTTTCGCGTTTTCATCATCGTGCTTTCGCATTTTCACCATCGTAGTTTCGTGATTTCGCGTTTTCACCATCGTACTATCGACTATCGCGTTTCAGATCAACACATTCATAGGGAATGGCCCTAACGGCATTCCGTAATACACAGACTGGTTTATGTGGTACTTCTACTGGTTTATGTGGAAAGGTGCCACATAAAGATCAAAGAAAAAGCATATAAACCCCAATTGTTGCATCCCTCCGTCCGTTCGCTCCCTTGTTCGTTCCTACCTTCGTTCCTTCCTTCGCTCCCTCGTTCTTTCCTTCGTTTCTTCCTTCCTTCCTAACTTCCTACGTTACTTCCTTCGACCCTTCGTTCCTTCCTTTCTTTCTTCCTTCCTTCGTTCCTTCCCTCCTACCACCATTAGTTCCTTCCTTTCTACCATCCTTCGTTCGTTCGTTCATTCCTTCCTTCCTACCTTCCTTTCTTCTTCCTTCCTTCCATCCATCTGTCCTTCATTCCTTCCTTCCTTCCTTCCTTCATTCATTCGTTCGTTCGTTCGTTCGTTCGTTCGTTCGTTCATTCATTCATTCATTCATTCATTCATTCATTCATTCATTCATTTATTCTTTCTTTCATTCATTCATTCATCCATTCATTCATTCAATTATTTGTTAATTCATTTAAGATGTTTGAAGGCGTGGAGACTGTTGAAATTGAATGCATTGGTAGCGGAAATCCCTATCCTAAATATAAACTGTACAGAGGCCAGAATTTTGTGAACGCTACGGAGGTTACATCTGCGATTGACACAAGATATACATTGACGGCCGGCAAGTTTACTATTGAGGGCGCCCAGAGCCAAGTTGACCAAGGCACATACCATTGTAAAGTTGAAAATGAAATTGGTTCCGTGCTTAGTGACCAGGCGAAACTTCTATTTGGATGTAAGTATAAAGTGTTTTATATTTATTATTTCATATTACATTCGTTTATATCAAAATTATTTTATTATTTTTTGTGTTGTCTTTTTTTTTTGGGAGGTCAATTTTTACTGTCAATGTAAAATGATATTGATGAAAATCATACTTTTTAACATTGATGAAACTCAATGTTCCATTTTTAGAAACTGGAGTAAAAAACACTGCAATGAAGTTATTCTAGGTTTCCACGTGATTGAAATAGTAATTTCGTCACGTGATAAATTCCAACTTCGGTCGATCACTGAAAGGTGAATGCGTTTATGCATCAGTGATGAATCATCAATTGATTATTATAGTTAATTCATCACGTGATGGACATTGTATTAACTAAGATTTAAGGATCAGAATCAAAATCAGGATCAAATTTAAAAACTCAAATATTCTCCATTGTATATCCTCATAGATTAAAAGTTTTATATTAACTTGATAAATTTGGACTTGAAATGACATATTTATAAAAGTTTAGAATAAGATATGGACATTTTACAGTTGATCCTGATATTGATCCTAAAATTGATCCTTCTTTTTAGCAAGATACAGTTAATTTTAGTTTTACAAACCAATGAAAATAAAATCAGGATCATTTGATCCTGATCTTTTCTTAGTGAACACGGGGCCTGGGGATCAGCACGTGATCATCATTTTAATTTATCATGTGACCAATATTGTCAATACATCACGTGATCAGCATGATCAATATAGTAAGTTTATCACGTGATCAAAATGGTTACTTTATCACGTGATCACCATAGTTATTTCATCAAAAATGTTTCAAAAATAGTTAATTAATCCCCGTGGCCAATTTTATTTTAATTCATAAAGGGTGATAACAATTTTTATTCATCACTATCTCCAAATTTTTTCACTTTAAATCAGCATTGCAAAATTCATCAGTCTTCTTCTTTACATCATAAAACATATTTCCCAAATAAAAATTGGGGAATTACTTTTTTTTTAGAGAAAAAAAACTTTAATTAAATATTATTCGTTTCATTTGCAATTAGTTTTGTTGAATGTGCTGTGTTAGGCCACATGTGTCACAAATCACATTCGTCACAAGTTTTTATGAATTTGTGACGAATGTGATCACATTCGTCACAAATGACTTTTGTGACGAATGTGATTGACCAAAATCGGGTAAAAATGCCAATCACAAACGTCACAAGCAAAATTGAGAATTTTTAAACAGGCGAATCACAAATGTCACAAGTTTATTTTTCAATATGTGATACACGGAATATCATAAGGACAATCGTGGTTATATCAGTGCGATAGTACAAGGGCGACAATGCAATAAATCGATATTGTGATGTCGACATCACGATACCAATATCTTTTCACCACCATTGCATTATCGCCATCGTACTAACTTGTTGCAATATCGTATCGTCGGCATTGTATTGTCTTCATAGAACTGTCGCATTGTCGTAATGGTATTGCTATCAAGTCGTCTTACGTTCTCGAAACCTTCAAAAAATTTTGGTGACAATGCACGGCATAGTATCAGACTTCAACTGGAAGTGATCTTTTACCTCTGTGAACCCTCAAATTTCTTCCCACCATACAGCGACAGTCTAAAGGAATCTCACAGACTTAATCTTAGTTTCAGTACAAATTATGACCATATTTACACCAATGAGACCATATATGATTGTTTGGGAAGTAGCTGAGACCCCCGTTGACTTTCAGGATATCTAATTAGAGATTAGGACCTTTTGACATCAATGAACCTTTTTTGGTCTGACAGACTTTTGACTTCCGCAGACTTTCAGGAATCTTGGTTCAATTAAAGAGTATGACATTTTGACATCTAGGAACCTTCTTTCCTGAGACGATTTTGCAAGTCTGTGCCAATTGCTTGCAGACGCTCTATGGAACTTTCCATATCTATTCCACTAGTAATAATAATATAGTTAATTCGTTTAAACAGATCGTGTCTTTGTGGCGGGGCCGCTTTATCGTTTCGACGCGTCTTAGCTTTTTTTCGCCTTTTATGATTAGATAGTTTCAAACGACGGTGTTTAGTGAATTTTATAGAGGATATTTGTTTGTTTTGAGTGAATATGAAATATATTTCACTGAGAAGTGAGAAAAAAAATGAAATATGTATCACGAGCGCGTAGCGCGAGTGAAAATATGAACATTTTCTCACTTCGATGTGAGATATAGTTCATATTCACGAAAAGCAAACACATTTTCTTTTTATTTTATGTGCCTTTTGAAAAGTGCTTTTAGACCGTTTACTACTGAAGCGCGGAGACTACGCGCGCGTAAACAATATGACGGCAAACGTTAACGCTGCAAGCAAAATAATCCTTATTTATTTATATTTCTTTTTGCGGTCTCATTGTCAACAATCTTACAAAATTACGGACATTTGAATCGAGAAATATGTCATTTAGAATGAAATTAAACAGTTATTTTTAATGCATGTTTAGGGAATCCAGACTTATAAATACGTACGCAGAGTGGGCGTGGCTTATATCACCCAAATCTATATCACCACACTGTGACTGATATAAATATGAATATATTTCATTGATAGAACAGTATTTCATTAGTTAGCATCAAATAAATATAGGATATTACATGAGTGTCTTTTCATATTGAATTTATTAAACGAGTTTGATAAAATAATAAATTGCGAGGCTCTGCCGAGCATTTTATTATTTTATTCAACGAGTTTAATAAATTCAATATGAAAAGACACTCATGTAATATCCTCTATATTGGCCTACGAGACCGCTAAAGCCCTCGGGCCAATACCTCTTCTTGGCCAATATTGCATTCAGACACACTAGACCTGTGTAATAACCTATAAATACGCAACGGCAAACACTATAAATAGAAAAAAATGTGAATTTAAACGTATATGAGTTTTGTCCATGTAATATGACTGTGGTCAGGTGACGTGATGCGCCAAATATCGATATCGGTCCGACTTCCGGTTGGGCCGATATCGATTTCCCACTTCGGGTTGCTAAAAAAACGCGGAAAGATTGACAATTTTATAAGAAAAAATACGTTTAACTGAAATATATCTTGATAAAAAAGCAAAATTGAAGAAACACTTGAAAAACAATCTCCAAACAGTTAAATAACGCCAAAATATATTAAAAACAAATGTTTGTGAGGAAATGACGTCAACGTCATTAGACGACGTCAAAAGTCCCTCGCTTTTTAAAATAAATTATACATTGTCGCTGAACAATGTTTTCAAACGATTTTTTTAATTCTATAATGAAAACCAAAACATAAATGAGCACATGCAATAAAAAGGTTATAGAACAGGTCTGGTGTGCCTTAATGCGATATGGGTCTACAAGATCGGTATTAGCCCTCGGGCTCTTTTAGTGGGCCAAAATCGAATAAAGGCACATCAGACCTCTGTAATAACCTATAAATATATCCCGCCTCTAAACCAATGAAAATTCGTGAACTTTATTAGCAGTATTATAATTGCGGCTAGTATTGTGCAATGTGAGTTTGCTTTTAGTCTTCTTGGAATCCATGTTGTTATTCATTACTTAGGAAATAGATATCAATTCTGAGTGCATTGTTGTAGAATAATGCACGGTTTAAGTTCAAATGCGTAGTAATATAATCACGAAGGCCGATAGGCCTGAGTGATTAATTACAAAGCATTTGAACGAAAAACGTGCATTATTATACAATAATGCACGAAGAATTGATATCTATTTCCATTCTAATACGTCAAGAAAAAATATAATTTTTATTATAACGTTGGACTTTATGTTTGGTGGTTGAATTTGTTTTCGCCTCAGAGTTTCCAATAGAAACGTTCTTTAGAGGCCGTTCCAGTGGGTTGAAAAAAAAACTGTTAAATCTACCGTTTGTAGAAACATTTTGAAAATAACGAATTTTGAAAACGTTGATACAACTTTGTTTGTTTATTTATTTCAGTTTATAATTTTCCAAGCGAAATACAAATTATTAAAAGTGAAATAAATGTAAAACTTAACTCGTTTGCGACATTAAATAGCGAACTTGATTTGATTGTTTTGCACGTGCTGTTTGGCGCTACATTGTGACGTCACGTAAACAACACTTTAAACGTCTGTACAGCGTTAACGACTGAATTAAAGATATTGATGTTCGGATTAATTTTCTTAGTTAGACCAATTTCTTTCATTCTAGATAGTTTTCACAACAAAATTCGATTTTTTTTTTTAATTTATCAGATTTTTTAAACAAAATGGCGCCTTCAATGTGAAAATACACAGGGAGATAATAAGAACGGCGAGTGCATTGTTGTAGAATAATGCACGCTTCCGGCCTTCTTTGTCTATATAGAAAAAATTCCGATAGTGTTAGAATTTATATTCTAGCATAAAACTGCCGTTATAACCATGATTTCGGGGTGTTTTAACAGGACCAAAAAGGTCTTTTAACAAGGAGATTCTAGCGCTCATGCGCTGTTAAAACACCTTTTTGATATACGTTTTCCGTGGCACAGCGTCAATACATTGTGGCCCGGACGCTGCTTAACTAAAACGGAAATGACGTCACGGTCACATACAACGCTGACGTTCCCGTGCAATCCGAGGAAAATCAGTGATGTTGCTTGATTGTGTATGGATTGTGTTAGATTTATGCATGCTTTATGCTAGAATAGCGTTAACGAATGATTGTTCCGTGTCATAACAACTGCTGAAACCCTCGGGATACGTTGGGTCGGGTACCAACTAATCCCTTGGGTTTCTACAGATATTTTAACACGAAAAAAGAAACATGCGTTATTCCTATATTATATCAGAGTTCTTTAGTACTGACGGCTCATCTAGGGTTCAATATGGCGCGGTTCATATAGTTATTTTACCAGTAATATCTATAAAGGAAAGGGTTAAATGAGAATCATGAAGGAAGTTGAATAAATAAACTTAAAGAAAACTTAACATTTCTTGTAGAATATGATTGGTCTTGCGAAGCTATAATTACACGAGGTCATTCAAATATCTTGCAAGCAAATTCGCTGAATTAATGTTTACCGCCGACAGCATCATATACTGATTGAAAATTAAACAATTGCAGGATACATTTCGAATAAAGACTCCGGGAAATAGTCGGTTAAAGCATAAATTATCAGGGCCCATATCACTCAAGGTCACGGCGATAATGCACATGCCCTTTTTGTATTGAAGGTTCCCACACAATTAAAATTAGATATATTTAACATTTGAAGACATGAAATACTTAAGTTATCTGACTGAATATTAAGCAACCAGGGGTCTTAACTTCGGGTAAGTGCCGTCAATATACACATCTCCGCTTGGTATTAGATGTACCCACATAGTTTGGTTTAAATTATTCAGCAGATTTGTTGAAGAATAGGGTTGAATTAATGCTTTTCTATGAACAATAAATGATAATAAATTATGGATCATAACTCTGTATTAAACGGCCAAACGGGAAATACTGATGATGATGATGATGATGATGATGATATGCACATCTTGTTTGTTTGTTTATGTGTTTATCTAAAGTCGCCGCCGGAAAGCCCATATAAGCGACCGTACCCTCAAGTCGGACCAAATCCTTTAGTGTCCCGTCGAGATTTTTCGAGATGCGCATCTCCTCTTTATATTAAACTAAATTTCGTTGAAATTCCTAGAGCGCAGAAAAGCAATAGTTCTATATACAGTGTTTTATAAATAACAACAACAACAAGGGGCAATAAGTCTGTTTTTAAAAAGAAATGGAGATATGCTGGTTATATGTGCAACTGGTTTGTGAATGAAGGTTCCTACAAAGTTGCAGCATCGATATCCATCCAGAAGTTGCTGAAAAATAGCGTGGAAACGAAATGATTCCATATACAGTGTATAATAACTAATCAATGGCCGGATAGTGCGGAAACTAAATCTGGACTGACAGGCGGACGAACACGCTAAAACAGTCCCATCACTCCCGATTTCATCAGCGGGGGAGGGGATAAAAATGTCTGTAGTTTTAGTTCCAATAATTGATTTCAGTCCTAAAAATTTGTGACGTTTGTGACTCAGTGAAAAGCATTGAAGAAAACAATATTTATCTTAAATTTGTGACATTTGTGATTTTAAACTCGTGACGAATGTGATTGTCTAAAACATTGGATCACATGCATCACAAAATTTGTGACGAATGTGATCTCATTCTTCACAATTGTGACGAATGTGATTTGTGACACATGTGGCCTTACAGTGCTGACCACAGTCGCTTTGAGGGGCTGTTTCTTCCCTTCTATTCGTAAAACTACCGCGACTTATGAACAGACGCACCAAATAGGTATTTGTAAGGTATAAATAAGGTATCAGTTAATTATTTAACTGTGTAAGACAAAATAAAATATATCCAAGAGCTGATTGGTTATGTAAAAGTATAAATACATTTGTACCTAATCAACTTCAGTATATTACACTTACACTAGTTTCAGATTCGGAAGTTGTCTTGTTGCTACATAGACTTTGACAATATTTCTTCTTTAAAGTGATGACCTGGTTTCTAGAAAAAGACGTCATCTTGGTTATTAAAATATTACATTCTCCCGTTGAATTTATTCTTTTACAATTTAGTTTAGCGTAACGTCCTTATACAATAATCAATGTTTAGATATTTCTTGATGCCAAGTAAATGTCAATTTTCTAGAGTTTTTTTTTTCTCTCTCCATATTTGTGTGAAGACCGTCCTCTATTAAAAGAAATTATGTCCCTTAATACTTGGCAGACAAGCCAATACAAGTTTCCTCCCTTAGAATTTCAGCATTTAAATGCATGTATGTATACAACATGTACAATATAAAAATAGATATTTCCAAAGAAAGTTACAAGTTTGGTTAGTTTGGTGGAGAATATGTTGCATAAGTCGAATCTTTATTTAACACCATCTATACTCAAGGAAAGCATGAGCACGCTCATTGATATGACCTCTCATATCAAAACTGCATTTTTTAGTATATCTTTTCATATTGATATGTTTGTATTGCAGTGTTTTCGTTATACTACACGATCATAACATCGATTTTGATTGGATGATGGGTGCCTTTATAATTATCTATAGTCACGATTGCTCTAATTTTGTTTTTAATTTTCTTTCAAATAAAGTAATGGTGCTGTATTGTTAATATTTCATGTAGATTTTGACCGGTTACATACTTGGTCTTGTATTAACAGTTATTTGCAAGATAATGTTACAATAATAATATATTATTTGCAATTATTTGTATTGAGCCAAATATTAACTTTTAAACTAAGAATGCTATATTTTATTCAAGATCTGGGAGAAATATCTAACGTAGAGCCGGAACCATTGTATGCTGAAACATTTAAAGGGACCAAGATGAATTGTGAGACGCCATCATACTCGCCAAGTTAGTATAAATTTTGCCAAGTTAGTATAAATTTTGCCAAGTTAGTATAAATTTCGCCAAGTATGTATACATTTTGTCAAGTTAGTATACATTTTGTCAAGTTGGTACACATTTTGCCAAGTTTGTATACATTTCGCCAAGTTAGTATAAATTTCGCCAAGTATAAATTTCCATCAAGTTTGTATATATTAAAATACTTTTCCAGCTTAATTAACTTGATACACATTTCCATCTTTGGTTTGAATGTGGCATAAAATTAATTAAGTTGTTAATTGCAGGGATTGAAAATATAAAAGTTCACACATTTGTTGTTTACGAAAAACAGAATTAACGAAAAAAGTTGAAAATGAGTCCATACTACGACCAACGCCCTATGCGTTGAAAACTTGTGGCATTTAGTAAATTTAAAGACAGAATATAAGATAAATACACTAGATTTGGCGATAAAGAAAAGAAAAGAAAAATTCTCCAGTTTTGTACGGTGTCCTTATTGTGCCACTTGCGATATCGTCCGTCGACCTTAGACGTCAACACTAAACAATGCGAACTGGCATTACGACAATGTATAAATGAGCCGCGTCATGACAAAACCAACATAATGGGTTTGCGACCAGCATGGATCCAGACCAGCCTGCGCATCTGCGCAGTCTGATCAGGATCCATGCTGTTCGCTTACCAACCCTACTACAAGTAGAGAAACTGATAGCGAACAGCATGGATCCTGATCAGACTGCGCGGATGCGCAGGCTGGTCTGGATCCATGCTGGTCGCAAATCCATTATGTTGGTTTTGTCGTGACGCGGCTCAAATGTCATTGCAAAGAAGAGAAACAACAGACTACAATGCTTATACAACTTGATGATGTGGCAATGTCGCGCCGATGTTATAAAATACAATTCATACTGATGTTACATCATAAATGGCACGATAAGGACACCGTAGTTCTGGCATACAGTAAATATGCATTTCAAAGAATGCGGTCAAAACTTTCGAAATTAATAAAAAGATAGATAAAACTAATTTAAACTATTCACAGCCAGTATATACATGTATATACACATTGTTTCTATTATTTTATGTTTGTTTTGCAGGAGTAAATTACGCATGGTTCAAGAACCAGGCCACTAATATATTTGTATGGCCGGGAAATGACAACATGTTCGTCTCGTGGTCAGGTGCCCTGTACGTGTCCGAGGTACAGCCGACAGACGCTACGAAACGCTACTTCTGCTTAATAACGCTTGTTGGCATGGATGACGCGAAGCTCGGCAGGGGAAATACCCTTGTAAGAAGCAATAAAGGAATACTTCTGCTGTTGCTTGGCGATACAAGTGAGTGAATAGGCTTGATTGGTGAAATTTATTATCAATTTGTGTTTCTTTAAAACGCTTATTTAAAGATGGTAGATGATGAAAGATTGATATTACTATACCTTTGTCAGACTTTGGATCTTATTACGCTTTAATCCGTCCTGTGATAACATTTAAGGTAATACATCTAATATTTTCTGTAGTCTTTTTTTATCCATAGGTAAACCCTGAAAAACTTTTCTATATCAACCTTAAGCAAACTCAAAGAGGGAAACATCTAATGTACAAAGTTTGCCAAATGCAGTATAGTATTCAACCAAAACAGATTTCCAATTGCGTTGAAATTATTGAGCGCAAAAACAACAACGACAAAAACAATACAAAACCTTCGATTGTATAGGAAATTCTAAATACATGAACATCTTTAAATGAACAAAAGCTATTGAATATATGGAGTATGCCAACATATTTGATAAGTAAATAATTTAAATCACGAAATCCGCTGACCTAAAGAAAAAATTCGATTGCATATAAATATAGAAAACGTAGAATTTATATATTTCCATCGATATCACGTGCCTCAGAAATATTTATATTTCAACTGATTTTTTTATGATATCATTTTGAGAAATGTTTTATCTTTCAGCCTCGGACAACAACTATGGTCCTATATTGTACACCCACTTGTTTCCCAGCCCGACACTACGAACAAACACTATCAGAATGGAGTGTATAGCTTACGGCTCGTATGTATTCCTGAAATAATGTTTGTTGTTTTTGTTACATTAAAGTGGATAAGTCCGCAAAGGCCACCTTTGTATGGAATGTTTAAACGCCGCGCACCTGGGGTAGAAGGGGTTCGAGCAGGGTCAGGTATTATGATTTCCGCAATGTTTTAGGCGACATAATTACCCCTGTAGAAGTTGGCAATACGGGGTGAATTTACGGAACACTCGTATGGTTGTTGTTCATCCAAGTATTACTCAAATATTGTTCACCTAAATATAACTCAAATGTTGTTAACCCAAATATTACTAAAATGTTGTTTACGCAAATATTACTAAAATGTTGTTTACCCAAATATTACTAAAATGTTGTTTACACAAAATATTACTAAAATTTTGTTCACCCAAATATTAATTAAAAATTGTTTAACCTAATATTACTCGGATGGAGTTAATCGGAATGATTAAAATCGTCCATTCAGCTCGATAGGTAGAACGTTGGACTCTGAATCGGGCTACCCTGGTTCGATTCGCCGATGGCGCAGGTCACTTTTGTTGTGACTGATCATTACATCCGTTCTACGGTCATTCGCCCTGTACCTTTGCTCTGGCATGTACAGAAGTTATATCAGTTCCTTGAGAAATTGAAGGCAACTAATACTGGTAAACTGCTTGACAGCTTACCCAAGAACGATGCAGTGGCTGAACTGTGATCTGGTAAATTTAATGTGGCTCCTTGCCGGGATCCGGAGGGTAAACTACCATCCCCACCACCAGCAGTACGCCAATTTAATGGGCTGTCATCATATGTTAAATAGTATTAGGCCGGCGACAGAGATGCACATATCCCAAAATAAACCTCATCATTATTAATCACTTTACCATATTTTATTTATACTTTATTTACCCATGACAGCATGAAGTTTACCGTATTTGTAAATACAAATATGAGATAATATTTCTTACGTTATCACTTTTGTAAATCTTTAGCAAGATGTGTGTTACTTATACAGGATATATTTAAAAAAATGTTTAATATGATATGATAACTAGTTTGTACCGCCCAGATATCACGCCAAAAAAGTAATTCATTCAACGTCATATCATGTTCCAAACCTTGTCATCTGCTTTTTGTCGTCTGCATCATTCACTGCAACGGTCACGTGACATTTTGCACGCTACCGGCCCATTACTGTCATTTGTTGGGCTTAAAGGTAAAAAAAGAGCAGTCTATTTTAATAAAGTCGAACAGAAAAAAGTATCATTTTCCTTCACTTACTTCAGCAAAAGCAATGGGATATTTTATAAATTTATATTGTCATTTTTAGAACTCCCAACAGACAGCTTGCACCCCATTATTAAAATAGAACATGGCTGTGACTGAATTTCGAAGACCTATTAAAACTGCATGCCTACAGATGAGTTAAAATATTTGAGATAAATAAAACTTGAGATAAATGTACTTAAATTAAAAAAAAGTAAAAAGAATTCGATATTCAAGTAATAATTAACATGTTTTGTGCAATTAAGGTCTGATTTTGCAGTATTACTCACTATATTTCTACTGCGTTACTAACGAAGTTAGGTCTATATTTGCTTATTTTTACCACGTTTTGGTTATTTACGTGGATTGCAAGTACTGTTTGCAATATGTAAATCATTTTCTTTGCTCATTTTACAATTTTTTACTTTTAAATTCATTTTTTAAAAAATTAATGAAAATTAGCATGAATCTGAGGGCATGCTGCTTTAATTCTGACTTATTTTTATTATCTTGTTCTTTCGTCTAAGTTTGACTGTAAATAATTCGTATCAATCCTTATATAGGCATCCATTATATTACTCATGGCGGAGGGAGGACGGGCGACCGTTTGTACCCGGCACTGTTCTGTCAGCCAGGAACCGTGTACTTACGATAACGAACGCGCCATTAGAAGCAGACGGTAACTACATATGCACGTGCACGAGGAACACTGGAGCGTCTGCTACTCAAACTATTACTCTGTCAATGGAATGTAAGTATTTTTCTTAAATTTAAGTAAATTATATTTTCTCGATATACCAAATATACGGATCGAAATGTATTTGAGTTTTTTTCTTTTGCTTACAGTATCCACCTAATATTGTTTAGGCTTACGTGATCATAATGTCAGATTTTATGTTTAAAGCGGCTAGGTTTTACTGACACTAATGAAAAGAATGACCAAAAAGCGACTTCCATATTCTTAATTTTAACCTTAGGTGTCGGCAATTTAAGTTTAAACGTATGAGTGTAGTCACAATGATGTTTGTATTTACATCTATGAATATGTCTTGTTAATAATATAGACAAATTGTTTATTACAGCTAAGCCATACTTCCCATATCCAATCGAAGATATGTTTACGGACCCCGGCATGACAGTCAACTGGAAGTGTAAAGCCGTAGCCCGGCCGGCAGCCACGTACAGCTGGTATAAAAATGGAGTTCTCCTAAAGAACATTCCTGGACAGCTAGAAATAACGGGGAATATTCTTAAAATACTTCAGGCTACGGAAGGGAGAGATGAGGGGATGTATCAATGCGCGGCTACTAACCAACACGGGACTGCTTTCAGTACAGGGCAATTGAAAGTACTTTGTAAGATATGAATTCAATCTTTTTCACAGTGTCATTTCATTATAAAGTCTTGTTTAATTCGGATTTAATAAAAAAATGCAAAAATATCGCTTGATGGATAGAAATTATTTCACATATTTCTTACTTTAACGTAATTTCTGCTAGTAACGGACTTATAGTCATCGACTATCGAATAATCGTCGCTACAATTCCCAGATCGGCAACAAACCAAAGTGAATCTATTGATAGTCACTGCCATATTTAGCGGCAAGTTCTTTTCGACAAACACTTTCTACTCAAGGTTTATTTTGCTGTTTTGGTGTACTCTTTTTGCATCATTGATATAGCGACAAAATGGCGGAGTAAAGTGGAAGTTTAGAAATTTTGCTCTAACTTAACATGGCCATACCGAACAAAATCTATAATTGTCTTAAAGTTGAAAGTAAAATGTTTATCAATCCAAATCAACTCAAATCTAGAAATGGTGTGGTGTATTGGTCCAGTGTGGTGTAAACATTTGAAGAAATAATACAAAAATAATGATATGTTTTGTTAGCCACGTGTGGTATCTCTTTCCTATCTGATTTTGCACCTTTTACTATCATTCGTAATGATCGATGAATTAATATTCAATCGTAATAGTAACTGCTTTAAAAAATAGAAATTTCAGGCCAGACATGAATGATTGGGTCGTTGTTTTGGCTTATAATGTCAATGTTATTTTGTTTGTTTGTTTGTTTCTTTCTTTCTGTCTTTCTTTCTGTCTTTTCTGTTTTATCTTTAATAATAAAAGCCACTAAGCATATAATTTAAATAGATTATTTTAATCAATTATAAACTGTTGAATAAGCAAAGCGTATCAAGCATAAAGTTTTGTAACCAAAACCTATTTACAAATAATAAAATGAGATAGGCAGTTAATTTCTGAAATAAGTATTAAAGTAATAAAATTATTCAATAAATATATCTATTTTCGTCAATGCGCTTTTAGTTAAGTACATATAAGTCGTAAGTTGTGCACTTTTCAGCTATATTTAGTCATATCTATGGCTATTTACTTCGGGTTTTAAGGTGATCGGAAATCTTAGATAATCGATCGTTAAATCGATAGTATCGTTCTGTATTGATAATCGATAGTGACCTAAGTCCGGTTGTCCAACAATGCTTTCTGTTAATGTCATTCGTTTAAAAATATGTCGCTTATTCTTTAAAATAACTATTAATTATTAATAATTAATAGTTATCTTTTTATTATTCCAATTTAGTTAATGCCTTTTGACATCCTAAACATTCATTTTTTTTCGATAAGTTTTGTATTACATGCTGCAATACCACTGTGGCAATGTACATTATACCAATGTAGTTTCAAATATATCAACACAATTTTTAGGTTTTTATCTTCTATCATGTGAAATTTTCATTTGAAATTGAGCAGAGTTTTCGCTTTTATATATGCAAAAACAAAATTGTTTATTCGAAAGCACATACTGGTATCAGGTATTATGTTATGATCTAGTATACAGTATATGCGTGTAATTTACATGTTTATACTTCATAGCTAATTTTATATTATTTCCAGCATTTGCCCCGAACTTTAAAAGAAAACCAATGCAACAGTCCATGCTTGCGCCATTGAACGGAAATATAACAATACCATGTGGCGTAGAGGGCGCCCCTTTACCGGATGTAAGTAAACATTACATGTAGCTGTTCGTAGTATGAGAGAGCTATGGTGATAAACAATAATATATAAGACATGATATTAAAAGTTTTGTCTTAGGGGTGAACCAAAGGTCGTATTGATTTGACCTAAAACATACGTAATCTTGTTATTTATGCAATATAATATCTAGTCCATATATTAAACAAATAAATAGATCAATAAGTAAATTAAAAAAAAAATTTCTGTTATATTGTTATAGACTATATTTTTGCATAAAAAACATGTAACACGAAACATGTTTTAAGTCAAATCAATGCTACTAGCACCTTTGGGATGAACCGCAGCTATAATTTTAGATCGCATAAAGTTTTGACGCACATGATTGTCATTTGATCCGTTTAATTACCGTATATCTATTTATGCACATGTTTGAAATTGTCAGTTTATTTATGAACATATCGTTTATTAGAATTTTTATATTTATGAAGTGATCTTGAAATAGTATCATGGTGGTAAGATGAATGAATAATGTTGATTTCATTTCATTTATTATCTACTCGTATTTACCATAGGTGTTCGGCGCGTTGATTGGTCACTACCCCCCGAACCCCCCCCCCCCCGTAACCCCCACACCCACTCTCTACAGCCCTCCTACCTCTCAAAACCATGTAAAATACAGTATTTTTCATTTGAAACATGTTTTAATATTTGGTTTATGCTTTTAATTCAATAACCTTCATTTCCTACAAAAAATAAAAAATTGATACATATATATTTAGTAAAGGTATGCAACTCGCCGCTCAATTTTCAGCACTCATCTTAATATGAACTCCATAACTTCAACATTTTTTCACCAATTTTCAATATGTTGGTACCAAATGGTAGGGAATTGATTACTCTTGAAGGAAATAAAGCTGTCATTACGATCATTTCAAGTTATCAGAAGATGTGTAATCTCAAACTCACCGCAAGTGTAACTCGACAGTGATCTGACCGCTGGGTTTTCTTCAAAATTACCCGACTAAACGGCAGTTTATTCGAAATGAAAGAAGATTTCATTGTATTGCGCATATAAATATGATCAAATTATATTATTATTTGTAATAACTGTTCAATCAAAACATCTTATAAAACTATAACAAACCTTTTTTCCTATATGTTAAATTCCAAATTATAATGCAAGTAATAGTTCTACCGAGTGCTCTCCTCTTAATTTTTTATACGGAGTATTTTCATTGGTCTAAGGTTTTCACACGACCAATGAAAATACTCCATACGAATGCTTCCGTTTATACATGTGTACTTTCATTTTGGATTGGAGAATTTGGCATATCGGAAAAAAGGTTTGTTATAGTTTTATAAGATGTTTTGATTGAACAGTTATTACAAATAATAATATAATTTGATCATATTTATATGCGCAATACAATGAAATCTTCATTCATTTCGAATAAACTGCCGTTTAGTCGGGTAATTTTGAAGAAAACCCAACGGTCAGATCACTGTCGAGTTATACTTACGGTGAGTTTGAGATTACACATCTTCTGATAACTTGAAATGATCGTAATGACAGCTTTATTTCCTTCAAGAGTAATCAATTCCCTACCATTTGGTACCAAAATATTGAAAATTGGTGAAAAAATGTTGAAGTTATGGAGTTCATATTAAGATGAGTGCTGAAAATTGAGCGGCGAGTTGCATACCTTTACTAAATATATATGTATCAATTTTTTATTTTTTGTAGGAAATGAAGGTTATTGAATTAAAAGCATAAACCAAATATTAAAACATGTTTCAAATGAAAAATACTGTATTTTACATGGTTTTTGAGAGGTAGGAGGGCTGTAGAGTGGGTGTGGGGGTTTCGGGGGGGGGGGGGGGGTTCGGGGGTAGTGACCAATCAACGCGCCGAACACCTATGGTATTTTACAGCTTATCGTATACGATAGCTTATAAAAGAGCTAATTGACACTTATAAATGTCTACATTTCCTGGCGGGTTTTTCAATGGAATTCGCTCGCAATTTATAACTAAGACACATTAATGATTTGTTAATTTCCAAAATAAAAAACATTAAAGCGGAAAGCAATAGTAAAACATATTGAGCGTGAAGAGGGGGGTAAATTGTTTAAAACATGGAGGACAGATACGTTTAAATGATGCTTTATTTCACAGGTAACTTGGTTGAAAAACAACGCTAATCTGAACCTTGCGAAAGGAGATATGAACGGTCGTATTGGCATGAACCTTGCTTTTGGATTGGTGTTAACAGATATACAATATAGTGATAAGGGTTTCTACACGTGCAAGGGTTCGAACATGCACGGCGAGGCTGCGATGACCACCGACCTTAATGTCATGGGTAATATATCATATATATTCAGTACCATGTTATCATTTATTATATACGTTTAAAATGAAATATTGAGAAATATTGAAGAAATAAAATGCGTATTTTTATTGTCCGTATTTTTCACTGTGACATTTTGTTTCACTGGAGATTGCAGTGGAACATATTTTCCGTTTTTTCACTGGTGTCTTGCTGGACAACTTTCTTCTAAATTCAGCCAATACACAACATTTTAGGTGAAATATTTAAAAATGTAATGTCAGGAAAGAGAAAAATGCATATAATAAACAGAAAATACAAACAAATTCTATACTAACAAGATTTATTTTCATCTTGTTGTATACCAATTAGTGTATTTCACGTATGGGACCGCCCCTCATGAAATATTTATTTTCATACCACTTGATGAAAACAAATCCAGTATTTATAGGGAAAAATACTTGAATATCCTCTATATATTGAGTGTTATGCATGTGTAAATCCTATATTAAAGGTTATTTTAATCGTACATTCAATGTCATTTAAATGATATATTCAGTATTATGAAAATCTTTCAGACGGAATTGTAATTACGACAGCACCAGCGTCAAACACCGTACAGGTCAACAGGACAGCGTTCATGTTTTGCCAGGCGGCGTTTGGCTATAATTATGATTTGACATACGTCTGGAAAGTCAACGGGAAGGAAATCGATTACCACTTGTCACCGGAATACATAAACGTGAGTTTAAATTGGACAATCCATGTGTTCAAAATAATGTAAGCCTAGCGTTTTGTTATGCAACATTTAATATGTTTCAAAGGTGCTGCCGCATGCAACGGTCGAAATGTATGCGGGCAAGCGAAGATATAGGAGATAGTACATACCGACTGGTTGCGTTTTTAATTCTGGATAGGTATTTGAATGTATAAATATTAGAACAGTGGTTAACATTGGTACTTGTGCTAGACATGTCTTGTTTAGCCATTGCTTGATAATTTCTGGGTATTCTACCAAAGCGATACAAAAATATCATCAATACTTAATTGCGATTCTTTCATTGTCACAATTTACAATGTATTGTTATTATAGTCTATATATGTCTTAAGCCCCGAAATAAAAAAAAACAACACTCATCCAATTGCAGTATATATCATATATTTATAAAATAAGCCATGACATAGCTATTGTATTACGTGACAAAAGTTAAGACCAATAAGGGTTAATGGCTTTTGTGAAAAATGTAATTATATTTTATAACATGCACCTTGCCGTTGTTTAAGGGTCAACGTAATGGGCTGGATGGTCTATACATCACAAATGCTCAGTTCAAGAATTCAGGGAGATATGAATGTATTGCCATGACAACACTTCAGTCTGTGTACAGATCAGCAATTCTTGAAGTTCAAGGTGAGCAGAACTCCTGAACACATTTCGTGAATATATAACTTTCATATTTATTTATTACATATTCAAGCAATACCTGTTTAAACAGTTGATGTTATTGTTTAAGGCTGAAGAACGCTAAAATATTACTTTCATATTAAAGGAGCTTCACTAAGAAAAAGATTAAATTCAAGTTATTTACATAGATGTAGTAAAGCACTTAAAAATGAAAAATAGTCTTAATAGGATCATACCGAAATATACTAAAAATAAATTATAAATCGATAGTTAGTGCAATTCATACCCTGACTTGAGTGAAAAGCGTTGCAGCGCTTTTCATTTTTGAGTCATTTTTCACAATCAAAATGATTCCTCTGGAAAACAGCATTGTGAAGGAATGATCTGAAAATTTGCATATAAGTTTCTGGTCCAGACCTTCATCAAATGGAACACAAATTTCGGGAAAATATTTTCAGTCTCATCTAGTCAAACCTCAGTTTAGTCCCTTTAATTTTGTTTTTGAATATGCTTCATCAATGGTTATAAAAACCTTTTTATCCTGTTTTGTCAAACAATTTTAAAAAGAAATGATACATCTTTTTCTAATAAGCAATCAAATAATATTTAGATTTATATAATAATTATAAAAAATATGTCTTTGAGGTTTTAGGATAATTTTTAATGCTATCATCCTTATTTGGATAAGATTATTTTGTATATTTTGTTACAGTTCTGATTCATTTTTAGCTAAAATATATCTTTATCATATTTTTATGTGATTGCTGAAAGACACATTTTGCTTAAAAAACGAAATGTTCCTTCTTTAGAAAGAGCTTATTTATAAAAATGAGCTTTCTTATGTTCATAAAGTGGTCTTAAAACATGTTGGATGCTTAACGTCTGAATGAATAAGCGCTGAATATGTAACTACATGTATTTATCATAAAAAAGAGGAAAGTGTAAATAAAGTAGAATTTTGACTTCCAAAAAATCTAGACCATTACATCAGTACAAATTGTCAAAAGGCAACAGAATCAAAAGATAAGTCAGATAATTGGCTTATGAGTCAATTTCTGGAAAGCATTAGAGAAAACTTAAAATGAAAACAACTTATGAGAAATGGAAATTGACGCATCTTTGGGATATAACGGGCCTTTAAAATAAGCGGAGTGTCCCAAAAATGATTGTCGTCATATTTTAAGTATGCTAATATTATAATCATAAGTGTATGTTCAATGCATATGAAGAATAATCAAAGCTTCATGTACATGACCTGAATAATGTTTCATTTGCCACGTAGGACCCCCAGGGGCGCCGGCCGGTGTGTACCCGGATGTTGAATCTGTCACAACGAGGTCTGTCAGGCTGATTTGGTCAGTATCCACGGAGATCAACCACGGTGGACCGATAACTGCTTATGATATCGAAGCCGAAACTGGCTATCATCCGAATGTGTGGACTGTTGTTGGATCAGGTATTTCAGAGATTTATATTGTAAACGGCATTAAGATTTAATAATGACGTCATGATCACGTGATCATAAAGTATGTCTTTATGGCGTCTCTTGATACGTTACAAGTGTGAATGGTTGTCTGCAAGCTAATTCAATAGAATGATGTTGTTTCTATATGGAATACTTTACAAATAAAATTACTCTCTATTTACTTCTCAGTATATGTCTAGATTAATGAAATAAGAAATGGGTAAAAATGTTCTATTATGAGGCTATGATGTATAGTAGTACAATACTGAATTATATTGGACGAATACACTCCTGTATCCGTATTATTGGACGAGGCGTAAGTCGTGTGTAATACAAGTTTTGCAGTTGTGAACGAGTCCAAAAGAATCAGTAATGTAATCAACAATGTATAATGACTCTTTATATCACACCACCAATTTTTCACATATGACATAAAAGTGTTGCTTCGAGGACAATATAAATTTGATACGTATATTTTGGACTTGGAAAATGAACATGGGGCTAGATGGAGTACAATATAGATTCGATATGGGTTTTTACACGGAAAATTAAAACGGGGCTAAATAAATAATAATGATTTATATTGGAACACCTCGTGGAATTTATTGGCTTCATTTTAAGGTGTTAAATGAATGAAACCCGGTTTAAGTTGATCACAGATAAAATCAATACACAGCTAGGCACCTGAAATTTTTATGGAAACAATGTCGATCATATTAACAGATACTTATATCCCACCAAAAAGGGATATATTAAATGATTTAAATAATTGCATACACTTTTCTTTTGTTTAAAGACGTACCAGAATATCTCGCTATAACTGAAGCCAACAACTTAGCAAAACGTTCAGACCAGCGGGCCATTATCGTACAACAATTGATACCTAATACTAGCTACAGGTTCCGGGTTCGAGCCATAAACATGTTTGGCAGAGGTCAAGAGGCCAGTAGTCCGTCACGTAAGTTTGATGTAAAAAAAAACGACCAAACTTCTTCACATAAAAGTTTGACGTTTCGATGTTGCTGACTGAATTATAAAATAAATATACTTGAAGGGCAAATAATCAATTGCGTATGACCCTTATCACGCTTAAATGGACTTACTCATCTTTATTTTTTGTTTAAAACCATTCTCTGCTAAGGGGAAATTTTACAAAGTACTGACTGTATGGCAAATGGGTAAAATTTGTTGAAAAGTTTAAGCAATTTAGATAGTGCATCTCTTTTAAGAAAGAAGAAACACAAATGTTTAATACCCTGATAACTTATAATCCGAGGAAATAACTATACATGATTTGTATATTTTAGCGTTTATTAAGATCGAGCAGACGGCACCAGTTATAGCGCCAAGGAATGTTTCCGGTGGCGGCGGTAAAGTTGGCACACTGACAATAACATGGGAGGTAACTATATAAAAATTTTTAGTTAAATTTGATATGATTTGTCTCCCTTAGATGTTTTCTATATAATTATAATGGAGGTTATGGCATAGTGATTCCAAATATATCTACTTTAAAATACTGTTTATGTGTCCTATTCGTGCATTTACTTCTGCAGAGGCTCAATGATGCCTTTAAAACAACACTGGAGAGCGACGGTTCATGAAAACAATATTAAGATTTTTATGCATTTTTAAGGATAAGGTGCATTGCGCTATTCAAGCATGAAATTGAACTTTTAATTCGATTTTGAGTGAATATATGACCTCTTGTCTGTAATATGTAACGCATTCCGAAATTTAAGAACATTATAGTACTTGGCTGCTTGTGCTTGATTGTATACTGTCATATATATTTCAAATTTCAAGTGTACATGTCCCATTTTCAGAGATTTATGTATAAGTCTAACTATACAAATATTTTTCTTTGTAAAATGGAACATAAGTTTGTTCCAATGCAATATAGATCTACCAAACTTTACAAACCAAAGGATATGAGGAAAAGGAAAACAATTTGGAGGGGACGGTTCAAAATGATTCCTTTATAGCCAACGAAACCTCCCCTCTATCCCTATACACTATGCGTGGTGGGGTATTGATATTTGCTTAATTCTTTTTCTCCTTTCTCGCATAGTTTCTCATCAATTATTATTGTTTTCACTATTCCATTAACGTTTTTTCCATTTTTGCTTAACTATTTTTACAGATTTTAAATAGTATCGCTTTCTTTTAGATATTAGATATATCTGAGCACTGTGGACCTAACCTTACCTATTACATTTATTGGAAGAGACTTGGAGATACGAAGGACTGGAAACGGGTAAGTTAATAAGTAGAGGAAAAATAAGTGACATGCAACCGGAAAGCGTATAGCACGTGACTGGCAATCCGTAACGGGCGTTATTGATAGATAGGGGAGGCAACTTATTTGGAACGTGTATGATAATAATTGAGGCAAATAATACCCGCCAAACCGGTGGCATTCTTGAGTATGTATGTATGTATGTATGTATGTATGTATGTATGTATGTATGTATAAGAAATACTTCCCGGTACCTCATATCTTGGGTGTCGATCCATCTGACCGGGTTTTTTTGACAACAAACCAATACCCAGAAATGATTGGCTACTAATCCAACATGATTTCTGAATTAACGGTGATATAATTAAGCCGCGCCATGACAAAACCAACATGCTGTTCGCCTACAAAGCCTATTATAGTCAGAGAAACTGAAAGCGAACAACATGGATCCTGTACAGACTGCGCGGATGCACAGGCAGGTCATGATCTATGCTAGCTATGCTAGTCGCAAACACACTATGTTGTTTTTGTCATTGCGCGGCTCATATCAATGCCAAAGTTCATTTGACACGGACACATTACGCCTCATCCGAGGATCGTACCCGCCGGCCCTGGATTGACAATAAGATACTCTTCCGAATGAGCTGAGAAAGCCTGACAAAATATTTTCTAGAATAGACATTGTTTTTTTTGTTCAGTATCATAATTAATTCATTTGAACAGGCTTGATTATCTAAAAGTATGTATTTTACTAACAGGAGGTAGGTAGAGATGAAATGGCCTTAAAACGAGGACGTTATTCGGTGACCGTGGGAACAGACAACTACTATTTGCAGTACCGGGTCATGATCGGAGCCCATAATAACAAGGGACATGGTCCAAACTCAACAGAACAAATCATTTATTCGGCAGAAGGAAGTAGGTCAAATTCAAGCATATCTGTACAAATATATACTTTAGACACGCATAAAATTGATTGCCAAAATCATATATTATTATTTTACATTTTTCGCAAAAAATTATTTTTCCGTGAACAGTAGCTTAACTTTAATTAAATGCAGACGAATATACAGTCAACAAGACACATAAAATCAAGCTCTATGCCGTTCATTTAAGATAAACACAATATTCATGATTGCTCCCTGTATATATTTTCTAAAACACTGTTAAACTGTTTCAGTGCCAAACAACGTGCCGGTATCTCAAGATGTAGAGACGTACAACGCAACCAGCATCATCGTTTACTGGATACCAGTACCGGACAATAGAGAGAGTATTAAAGGCCGTGTTGCCGGCTATCGGGTATGTAATCAATGATCACAAGTTTGAACCCTCGCTCAACTACTTACCATATTATTATATTATTTTTGCAAGAAACCTTTAAAACAGAGGTCCCATATATCGGTGTTTTACATTGATCATGCCAAAGCCAGGGTAACCTTTGGAATGCGAAAACTAAGCCGTGCCCTTGCACTACCACGAAAATAACATGTAACCGTCTTCTGGATATGGGCAACTGAAATTAAACAGATAATTATCTGAAAGAAAACTATCGAGCATATTGTCTAGCTCAAGTGTTAGCTCAAATGGGTTTCCTTTGGTGCACATGTATATGGTGTATTCACTGGGGTTGTAGAGATGTACACAGAGTTAGTGAAATTGCTTTAAAGCATTATGCTTCCATATTCATTTTAATTTTCATAAAAATTTTGGAAATGTATCTAAAAGTAAAATAATGTGAGGTGAACAAATAAAGTAATTTACATATTGCGATCGGTACTTACAATCCATGAAAATTACTAAAAAGTGGTCAACATATTCACAAACAGCCCTTACTGCGTTTCTAACGCAGTAGAAATATGGTGACAAAATACTGCAAAATCAGTGTTAAACCGCACATAACATGTATAATATGACTTTGATATTGAATGTTTTTAACTTTCTTAAAGGTTTAGTGCATTTTTCTCAATATTAATTTCCTTGAAATATTTTGGCTCATCTGGAGGCGTGCAGCTTTAAACATGCTTAACACGATTTAAGGTCGTGCGACAAAACAGATTAAGGTCATCATAGCATATATATGATAAATAGATTTCAACACTAAGGTTCCATGGCGAATTTTTAGCTGAAGTTACAAGTTGGGTCTTCAGGAGTATAAATGAGCCGCGTTACGACAAAACCAACATAGTGCGTTTGCGACCAGCATGGAGCCAGACCAGCCTGCGCTACCGCGCAGTCTGATCAAGATCCATGCTGTTCGTTATCTGTTTCTCTACTTGAAATAGAGTTAGTTAGCGAACAGCATGGATCCTGATCAGACTGCGCCGATGCGCAGGCTGGTCTGGATCTATGCTGGTCGCAAACGCACTATGTTGGTTTTGTCGTGACACGGCTCAAATATTGTCTCTAGAACTTGGTCCGAGGGTATAAAGAAATTCTCCAAGCTCAATCTCAGCTTTCGGGTATTTGATTGTACAGAAACTCCCAAAGAATGAACACTGGCCAATGAAAACCCTGAATCGTGTGGCAAGTTTTATAACCTCGAGGCCTGGAGGGCTGGATGACTTTCACAACTGAAAGGATTTAGCGTCCGGGATTCAAATAAGTAGCAGCATTATGAACATACTCATAATATATTATTACCATGGACAAAACATATATGAATGCATTTACCTACATTTTGTCTACTTTCTACTCTCAGGTGCATTATTACGCAAATCTTTACGGCGAGGACCCGTTCGGTTCGGAACCAGATCCTGTCAGGAACGAGATATTAACAAAAGATGTCTACGGTCAAACAGATCACGCCCAGTTGATAGGTTTAATTGCAAATATGGAATATTTCTCGCGCGCTCAAGTGTTTAACGGTGCTGGCTTTGGACCTAAAGGGGAGTGGCGAAGATCAGAGACCGCCAATGACCGTAAGATACTTTTTATTATTAGAGATGTTGTCTCGATGTGCCATACTTTAATACATTGGATTTTATAAACCTTCAGATGATATATATATATATAATTTATCATACGTTATTATAAATTAAAATGGTCCCTAGATAAGTTCCGAGGGCGTACAGAAAAACGATCTATGATTCTCGAAGGAAACATACGTTTGTGTCATCGCGAGCATATGATAAGCTAATAAAGTTCCAACTAATAGGTTGGGTCTTATGAAACTGAATTTTGCCCTGTGGTTGATACGATACATTTTACTTAATTAACAGTTTATTTTTGTGTAATTTTGCATAAACATTTTTGCATGCATGTCTTTTTTAGCTATATAGTTTTCACTTTCAGCATTACGTGACCACCCCACCCACGTAGAAGTCTTCCAGGAAGGAGTTAATAGTGTAAGAGTTAGATGGAGGGGTGTCATGAACTACCCCCTTGAAGAGTCATTAAAGGGGTATATAGTGAGTATTGTTAAAATATCGAGTCTTCTATTGGTGATAACTGTTTTATAAACATTCATTCCTGTTAAGATCAAACCACTTGCCTCTCAACGCATAGGGAGGACTCCTGTCTGTGACTTGGATTCTTTCTGGTTAGGAAACTATCCAGATAGCTTATGGGATGTCGGTGGTTCCACTTAGATGATCAGTCGTTCCTGAAATAATGCATTGAGGGGCACCTGATGTGTTCCTCCGACAGTAAAGCTAGAAAGTTGCCATATAAAAATGATATTATAATTCTTAGGATAGTCAACGTAACTTAAAATAGAAGCAGAATTAAAGTTCGATGTATAAAGCCGTTTGGATAAAGGTAAAATGCCATTTTAGTGCTTGCGCGTGAAGGCATGCTATTTCAGACATATTCGTCGTGACAGGCAAAATATTCCTTAACACATGCTGAAATTGTAATCATATCCCTTTATATTCGTTAAGTTGCGGGTATGGAAAATACAAGAAGATGTCCGAACAGCAACTGATACAATGGTTGATAAGGTGAATGAAGCGGTGATAGAGGGTCTACAGCAAAACTCCGTCTATGTCATCAGAGTGCTCGGATACAGTAAAGCAGGGGATGGTGGACTCAGCGAGGCCGTTTACTTCTCACTTACAGGTAAAAGTGACAGCTACCATGGCTTATGGAAAGGAAATTGTAGCTTTAAATTGCTAATTATGTGAACTCGATGTATAATGGATACAATGATTAATACAATACTAAATCTACTCTATTTTTTTTTAAATAAATCAAAATAACTTTCTGAATGACACAGGGTGAGAAAAAAACGTGCAACCAGAATTCGAACCCGGGACCCTCGGAATACCGTTCCGCGGATCTACCTACTCAGCTATCCGACCGCTTACACATGCCCTTGAAAAGTGAACAGTTCTGACTCGTGGCATAAATACTTTTTTAATTTATAAAAGATATGTTGATATTTGCTTTTTGCAAATTAAAAGATTAAAAACTTGACAAACAAATGTGCGCAGGTGCTAAAAAGCTTAGAAAAACGTTGTTTATGCTCAATTGACCGGATGAAAAATGTTTTAAAATGCCTTTGTTTCGGTATTTAAGCATTTTCCTTGTTTCAATTAATATTTATAAAATCAATCATCTATATCACGAAGAATAGAATTAGATAAACATATGAAACTATTTTTACATTTTTTAAAACTTGTTTCAAGAAAATGCTTGTTCAATATTAATTATGTTTTTGCACACTTAAGTGTCAATAAAGTTTGCAGTGATTTTTGTAAATGAAGTTGGCTTGAAACATTTAAACCACGAATGTCAATAGCAAAACGTTTTTTTTAACATTTTTGAATTTTGATACACTTTTTTAGAACATGTAATAGAAAGAGCATCGAAACACGAGGCTATCTGATTTGTACGAGGGGGCTTTGCCCCCGAGTATAAATCAGATTGCCGAGTGTTTTGATGTTCTTTCTCTTTTGTATCATAGTCAAAAATAAAAGCACGTTCCCTGATGTCACAATATGAAACCCAACATAAAAAGTAACAAATGAACGAGCATCGGAATATGACATTTCTATCGCTATCCCTTTCTCCGTCTTCACAATATGTAAACCCCAGACAAAATGAACCAATCAATGGGCATTCCCAGGAGTGCGGGTAACTAATACCTTCACTCCAGTTAACGCACTGTGCATGTATATGTATACGATTTAACGTGACAAATTTTCATCAGAAAGGTCCCCAAACTATGATACAACCGACTTTAATGCATGTTTTATGCGAAAATTCCAACAGTTTGTAAATTGATTAAATTTGAACAGTCTTTGTAATGTATAATGTTAAAACATTATATATATCTTATATTGTACGTTTATTCAATTCTTGTATCATAGTTTTGGACCTTTCTGTTGAAAATGTGTCAGAGTTAAATCGAACTCATATACATGCACAGTGCGTTAACTGGAGTGCAGGTATTAGTTACCCGCACTGCAGAGCATGCCCATTGATTGGTTCATTTTGTCTGGGGTTTAATATTGTGACGACGGGGAAGGGAAAACGATAGTAATATTGTATTCAGATGCTCGTTCATTGGTTACTTTTTTCTGGGGTTTCATATTTTTGGCTATGATACAAAAGAGAAAGAACATCAAAGCACTCGGCAATCTGATTTATACTCGAGGGCTACGCCCCCTCGTACAAATCAGATTGCCGCGTGTTTCGATGCTCTTTCTATTACTTATACTTTGATAACAATTGCAGTAGCTAATACAATTTCACTTCTTTTTTCCTTTGTGAAGTAGTTTATTTATAAGTTATGAGATATATATTCATCAATTTTTTTTACTCAAAAAACTTTGTTATTATTACAGGCTCTGGCCAGTCACTAAATATTCCGATTGATCCGACAACCTCCGAAATTTGTTATGACGATGCATACCGAAGAACCTGCGGAAGTGACGTCATATTAGGAAAATATGTGTACATAATTTTAATGACTGTTGTATATTACTTATGTGTAAATGACGTTTTGTAGAATTGTTTAATCATATTTGAAGTAGTGTGTTCATTTATTTCATCATTTGTATTTATCAAATACATCTATAATTATATTCATATTATAAAAATTCAAGCCTACGCTTCAAAAACATATTTATTTTTGTAATTTATGAAACATTTTTCTTTCTGTCAACAACTCTGGAAAAAAGTGAGTTCTTTGAGTAATTTTACATCATTCATGAAACATCTTATTGTACATAAAATGACTTAATATGTTTTTTTGTTTTGTTTTCTGAGCATGGTAAAGTAATAGGCAGTAGATCTACTTAATATAGATGATAGTGAAAACAGCCGACAATAATGATAACGTTCATGATCGTATATAATGTCAAAAAATCCCGAATTTAGGCCTTTTAATAACGCGATTATGTTGATCATATGCATTATGTTAAAAACATTCAAAAAAAAAAATACCCAGGCGAACGGAAAATCAAGTGTGCGTTGGGTTAGAGATAGAAATATATACATATAAAAGTAAAATATAAGCAAATCCGGTATCAGTGTGTGCACACTTTGTACAAATAAAGATAAGCCGTTCCATTCCATTACAGTAATTTTAAAAATTTGTCACTCTTACTTTTATCTATATGTTATGTACACGTTAAACTATGTGCTAAATATGATTGAATTTCATATTTCTATTTGATATATACTTTGTTTAAACATATTTATTTCTTACGGTATATTTGTTAAAGAAATAATCAGCATTATGATATCCAATACACTTCCATCTATCATTCGTGGATTGAAATAAAAGCAAAAATCTTATTGAAATTCAATTGTCTACAAGTCTTTATTGATTTAAGTAATTTAATGAAAGATTTGGGCGATGCAAATAAAGAGCTCTATGCATCCAAGATAAAATATGTTAACATTTTTTGCTAAATGTATACTAAATATACATGTATTTATATAAAAAACACAAATTGATAGAGGGAAAACAAAGAGAAGTGTTTAAAATTGTTTAATGAAAGAAATCTGAGTTGAGAAAGAAAATAGATGAAAAATTTGGATATTGTCAAGTAAACCAAAACTTTTGACACACAGTTTACATTTCAGTAAAAGTGTGCAAAGCTTGTAATATAATGTATATAATTATATACATGTGCCTTCATTAGCTTCAATTGATAAAAATCTATTTCATGAAATGTTTGTTTGCATACTTTATTCCAAATTTTGACTAAAGTTTACTATTAAAGAATCCCTAAAGAACGCCAAAAAATGGCAAAATTTAAAATGTTGCAGAAAGATATTGGTTCAACGTATGCTACCGTTCAGCATTCACTCAATAAGCCTGTAATTCAACAATGCACATAGGAGAGTAATGGTATAAGCAGATGTTTTCATCACGGCGGTTTTCATAGAAAGTAGTCTGAGGAGGAAAGAACATATAAGATTTTGTACAATAAGTTTTGTTAACGTGTGTTACTAAGATTTGTGAAGGACTATTCTAGTTTTTAAGACGAATTAAATGTAGAATTTTTAAATAAATACTAGATCTAGAACCTACATTTTGTACACTTTTGTTACGAAAATACAATTATTTTATTTTTCTACGAGACTTTACATGTGTATATATTTTTTAAATGGTGATTTAGATATGTGAAGATATTGTACTTATATTTCTTAAAGAAATAAAATTTTCTGAGTGAAAATGAAAGGAACGCTTGTTAGAATTTGAAGTGACATTATTCCCACCCAAAGGTATATAGTGACTAAAAAAACAGTGAGTGAACATGTGAAAGTCAAAATAAGTTTACATTTGCCATGATTTTCTAAAATGAATTTTATAAATCGCATGATTGATAATTTACTGATGTGGTCCAAGTAAATTTCTGTAAATATCCATTGGAATTAAACTGTAATTTTCAATTTATAAAAAGAGTGGCACAGTCTTTGTATATTTTGGGAAGATCTAAATTTTATCCTGAACATTACAATATCAACTGTTGGTCAATCACCATAATAGCAGTCACTCTTTTAAAAAGTATATAATAAATGAGCATCAGATTGCACAATATGTACAGTGCAAATGATCATTAAAACTTCAGAAGAGGTGAAACGAATGTGCAGTCAGTCACTTTATGATATGTATCTTCAAAGAAACATGCAAAAAGGAAAGCAAGATATATACATCGATTGACTGACAGAAAAACAAAGTGTATATTTATATTTTTAAAAACTGCAAACCCCCTTTTTACATGCAAATTGTTAATCTTCAAATTAGAAGCTATTGTTAAAGATCAGATGTCAAGCACGTTATTGAATTCTGAAAGAAACTTACTTCTTTATCCTTACGTAAGTACTTATTAGGAACATTGCACTGGTATGGCGTAACTAAAGCGACTGTTTTAGACACGAAGATGTTACAGCGTTAATTAATTATTCAATGTTTTCAAATATAATACTGTTCCCTTTAAATGTGTCTCGCTTCCATTCTGCCATTTTGAAATCAATCTATTCGTCAATCGAACAAGTCTTCCTCAAGAATGTTCGCCCACACATGAAATGTTTGCTCGGTGCCTGAATCAACCATGAGTCCGGATACTTTAGCGTTTGTATTGTGCCATATCTTTTTCAGGCCCACAGGTCCTGTTATTTGTACGTGATGGTAACCGAAGAGACGACAACAACAGTATAAATGCATCTTTATTTCAAAGAAAACAACCCTCTCGCGTTAGTCAGGACAGGCCAAACCAATCATCCCTCGTCTGGTACATAGGATGACATGACATTGACCTGTTGTGTGCCTTTTCCACAACATGCACGTCTCTAGATAGAGGGTTTTGAGAAGGCAATTTAGTGGTAATTGCTTACACTTATGTGAAAAAAGATCGGGGAGTTGAATTAGCCTGGATACGAATGGTTCTCCTTTGACATGACAAAGAAAGCCAATCAGACAGTCAAGGTTGAGCGTTCAACGCATGCTTTAATCGTGATCGAAAATAATTATTAATACTTAGAAATCAATAATCCCGGGGGCTATTTTACATGTTATTTCCTTCACCAATTGAATAGCTTAATTCAATATGCGCAAAATAAGTTTACATCGGTTCTTTGTGTGGATTGTTCCTTGCAAACAATACGTTTGTTGCGAAAACAATATGATCAAAGAAACTCAAACAGGTAACTAACCGCGTCGTAAATTCACGCAAATTAAAAAAAATATAAAAGTGACATTAATGATTATGCTGTGTTGCACCTTATGCAACTTTCGACGGGGGGTTATACGTTGACTTTAACATCGTAAACTGCTTGCACCGGATACAGCTTATCGTTAGCTGTATACGTATATATCCTGCATTTTACCATAATATATAATCCATTGTTGTAAGACAAATATTTTGTGATCGTGAATACGTTTTCGTTAATGCTACGACCACGGTTTCGTCAACAACTGTGACAACGACTATGACTTTGACCGACTATGACTTTGGCGACAACAGGTCTGTTCGGCTATGATCACGAGTAACAGCATTATTGACTTCGAGCACAGTTACAACCACGACGCCGACTACCAATACTACAACTTCCACAACTACGAGAATAACTACGACTTACGCCTACAACGACGACTATTATTACCATAACAACAAGTAATACATCAACTGCTATGACCATGAATTTTACGAGAACAGCTACGACTGCTACAACAACTATTAGACTTTTACGATTAAGTCTACAAGCACGATTAAGACTACTACTTCGATTTCAAATACTATGTTGGCAACAACAGTCACGACTACGACTACGTACTACGTCTTCATGACTACAAGTCGTTATCCAAAGTTACAAGGACATCGGTCACAAAAGAAATAAAATATATAATACAATATAAAATAATACATACAAAGTACGCACATCACAGTTTGATACCCGCACACAAAAATTGTTATCTTACCTCACAATTTTTTATGACGCCATTTGCAGTGCGACGGCTTAGCTAAATGTGTTAATATAAAGTTATTACCAAATATAGGTCTACACGATATTCTTGTTGCCGCCATCAACTCATCCCCCTTTGCAAAAATAAGTGCCCGTCAAACGGGACTTCACTCCGGGAACAAACTGAAAATTAGAAAATCATAGGGGCGAGGTCGCGACTGTAGGGCGGAACACCAAAACATCAATCTCCAACTGAGTGGAACTCGGCGTATGAGTACGGGCGTTGTCTTGGTGCATCACAATGTCCGACAACTTAACACCAGACCGCTTCTTCAGGAGCACGTGAACAAGATCACGTCGCTACAGCTAAAAAAAATCACATTTTAGCGAATTGCTCTTTTTTTTACTTTCTTTAGTTACAGTTACCATTTCGTAATATAATTATTTAATCAAACGCTAAATTTTGTAAGCTAAAATATAAATCAAAATAAAGAAATTACTTTTGAATAGTAATCAGTGTTGAAAGTACGTCCATCGTGCACCCGATGAATCATTATCACCCTGTGTTTGCATAAAGAAGGCACGCATGTGCTTCCCAGTGGATCATGTCATTCTGGCCTTCTTTTGTGGTGGCTCGTGGTGTTTTCCAAATGGACGAGTCAGCCTTGGTACCTGCGTTAAAATGTCAGAGCCAAGTTTCATCCTTGGTGACTATCCTGCATTTTGTATCTCAAAGGTCCAGAAATGTCGATGATGTGTAAATGGCGCTTGCTCTTTCTGATTGTGGGTGAGAAGTCTTGGTACCCATTTAGTGCTCATCTTGCGCATGTTCAGATCATTTAGAATCAGAACAATTGTATCTTTAGATGTACCCGGTGTTGAAGCGTAGCTGTAATTTTCGGTCTATTTCAATTTGTTCTCTAATCTTCTTTACGCGTGACAGTCTCAAACTGGAACGGCGACCGTCTCTCTGTTCGTCTTCTATGGAATGACGACCTTCCCCGAAGCCTGCATGCCATCTTAACACTAATGAACGGCAACATTTATATTTGCCGGCACCCTGATCCAAGTTATAGATCTGTGTTAGTGTTTATTCTAAAAAGCATGGCAGAATTGAAATTACGGCCAATAGTTTGACCTCGTCGGTTGACCTTATGACGATTTTCCCTCCGTAGACAGTGTCGTATTAAATAGCGCTGTTTCTCAGCTACATATAATGTTATGGAGTCCTAACAAACAGGAAATTTCGCGCGCCAAAAAGGGCCGTTATTACGTCTCTTTAAGGCTTGAATGAGTGAAATTTTCTCTTGGCATCATATAATAATTCGTTGCCATGGAAACGCTTTGATTTTAAGAAAGAAAACGAAAATTTTGATGTACATCGTTTTAAATGATAGAATACTTTTAAAACTAGATTTAAAGCAGAAATAATGACACGAGCTACTTGAAATAAAGCAGTAATGACAAAAGT